TCATACAGACCACTTCACTATCTCACTGGGGTATACCTTCGGTCCAATCGGACGAGCCTCACATGACTTCGTCTACTTCCTCCCCTCCTGATCCGCACTATATCACTCCAGTTCAACACTTGCCCGTTCCTACTCCACTCCACTCTTCCCCAATTGATGGGGCAATATGTTCCGAGACACAACCATCCTCTTTATCTCCTTCTTGCCCAAGTGCCCCTGACGTGTCTCCACTCGACCCGACTTATGCCACAGATCCTCACCCAACATCACCTCCCAATCCTGTCGTCTCTAATCATCCTATGACCACTCGCTCTAAGCATGGTATTTTTAAACCTCGTCAGGTACTTAACCTTCAAGCTATCATGAATTCCTCATCCCCCAACGTTGAACCCACCACCTTTACTCAAGCCCAAAAATCTCCACATTGGCGTACTGCCATGAGTGAGGAATATAATGCCCTCCTCCATAATTCAACGTGGGATCTCATTCCTTTCCATCCTTCACAAAACATCATCGGGTGTAAGTGGGTCTTTAGAATTAAGCGGAACCCAGATGGCTCTGTTGCCCGATATAAGGCACGCTTGGTCGCCAAAGGGTTTCATCAACGACCTGGGGTTGATTTCACTGAGACGTTTAGTCCTGTTGTTAAACTCATTACAATCCGGCTCATCTTGAGTCTGGCTACCACTAAAGGCTGGCAATTACGACAATTGGATGTTAATAATGCATTTCTACAGGGATCTCTATCCGAAGATGTTTTTATGCAACAACCCCCCGATTTTACTCATCCTCAGTATCCACAGCATGTTTGCAAACTTCGGAAAGCCATTTATGGACTTCGTCAGGCTCTGAGAGCTTGGTACACTGAACTTAGCTCATTTTTTATTTCTGTCGGCTTTCTTAACTCCAAATCTGACACTTCGTTGTTTCTGCGACATTATCATGGAAACACAATGTATATTCTGGTATATGTGGATGATATTATTGTCACAGGCAACAATCCCATCAGCATCCAAGCGTTCATCAAACAGTTGGTAGCTCGATTCTCACTTAAGGATCTCGGACCCTTGAGCTACTTTCTGGGCGTCGAAGCTACCTTCACATCTTCCGGTCTCCTTTTATCACAACGCAAGTACATTCAAGATTTGTTATTAAAGACAAACATGCAGGATGCAAATGCAGTTACAACCCCCATCTCTACTAGTGGTTCTTTCAAATTATCGGATAGAAGTCCTGCTACAGAACCCACTCAATACCGCCAAGTTGTTGGCTCTTTACAATACTTAGCTCTCACGCGTCCAGACATCTCATTTGCTGTCAACAAATTATCACAGTTTATGCATCAACCATCTACTCTACACTGGTCTGCGGTCAAGAGACTTCTACGATATCTTAAAGGGACCTTAAATCATGGACTCTTTTTTCGTAAACACTCTCCACTTTGTCTTCATGCCTTTGCCGATGCTGATTGGGCAGGTAACCTTAATGATAGAACATCCACATCAGGGTATATTATCTTCCTTGGTGCTCATCCAATCAGCTGGAGTTCTAAGAAGCAAAAGACAGTCGCTCGGTCTACAACTGAAGCTGAATACCGTGCCATTGCCGCTACCACTGCAGAACTCAATTGGATCACGAATCTACTCCAGGAACTCAACATTGATTCCACCCCTGCAATATATTGTGATAACATTGGAGCTACCTATCTGTGCGCTAATCCGGTATTCCACTCCCGCATGAAACATATTGCTATCGATTTCCATTTTGTACGCGATCAAGTTATCCGCCGTCAACTTCGTGTTTCTCATGTTCATACGGCTAAGCAATTGGCCGACTCATTTACGAAGCCTCTAGCTCGTAAACATTTTGCATTACATCAGTCCAAGATTGGCCTCCTTGATCGGAGCACCATCTTGCGGGGGCATGATAAGTAGATGAGATTTCCTAACTGTTTGAGGAAATCTCTCTACTCTGTTGAGGGAAATCCTCTAATCTGTTGAGGAAAATTCTCCCTTCTAACCTGTATAAAAGGAAGGAGGATATGTTAATAACAATCAACTACTTCTACAACTTGTTTATCTATTTATTTTCTAACAAATATCCCATCGAAGCATTATTCCTCCTCTCCTGTAAGTATTTCAACATTAGGCGGAACCAGACGACAAAAAAAGAGGCTTTACTGGAAAATCGGTGACTAACAATAAGGCAGCATCAGATACATAAACTGGGAACAATCTTTCTAGGAGTTCCCTAACATATGCGAACGCAACCAACTGCTAGCCAAACATTGGTATCACACCGTCTAAAACCACATATTTCAGACACGATCAATCTCAACGCGCCAGAAAAACGCAGAAGACGATCATAACCACGAAACGTAATCATCACAAACTCATCCGAAGCAATCAAACTAATGCACGACCGGCAGATTAGTCAATGACCAATCCAAGGTTCTGTTACATCATCCAATCTATATTTCGGCGAGACGAATCGAGGAACCACAAGCGAAGGAAAGCTCAGAATCAAAAGAACGAAGAGAACGAAGAGAACAAAGGAAAGGAAGGAGAAAGTATCGTCTCGAACCCCATGTCGACGTCATCGTAGTCATCGTCGGCCATTATCCAAGCCGAAAAGCCCCCTTATAGTTCTCTCCCTCTCCCCTCTACCCAGAAGCAGGAACCCTAGAAGTTTCGAACAAGAAGTTTAAATTCCCGTAGTGGGGTTATTTATAACCAAACAATAAATTGGGCCGTTCTTTGAGCCGGACGAAGGAACCGAAACGGGCCGTGAATTGGGTCATTCATTGATCCGCTTTTCTATTCTTATTTAACCGGCGTGTTGAGAGTATCAATCGAGTGTAAACAGTTTGACCAACATTGACTCCTCAGGAGTTGTTGCTGCAGCGGGTGAAACGATCGGTTAGGGAACCCGTCCGAACAGCAAAGAGAACAGACCCTGATTTCACCCACCCGACACATCCAACCAACCCAATTATTGAAGACACGGCAGCAGCCACCGTCTCATCCTTATCACGCCCACTGTTCTTTTAATGTTGGGTGTCCCGAGTCCGCGCGGTGGGTGGAACACGCCGACCCGAACCGACGTGACGCCACCTCACCCATGGTCCACCGCCGTTCCTCGTCGATCCGGCCGGATCTGACCGTCCGATCGTCGAAGAGCCGGGCTCATCTGTCCCGCGCGAGACGGGGAACACGGTGGCGTCGGACGGTTCTCGGGGGGGGTGAGGCGAGGTCATGGTCGCACTCCGTGACTTCATCCCACCGACATCCGCCGAGATGGTGCGGTTCACCGTGCGTACCTATGTTTCCTGTCTCAGCCGACAAAAATAAGGTTGATGGTTTGTGAGAGAAGGGTCGATGGGTCTTCTCATATGTTTAAGAAAAACACGCCGACACATCAAATATACTTTTTGCGAAACCAAAATGTTTTTTAATTTATTTTTTAATACATTCTTAGGGTGAAACGGATGAGACGCAGTGGATCCGGTGTCTCCATCAAGTTACCTCTCACAGTAGGATGACCTTCCATTGGCTAGGAACCCGTGGGCCCGATCATGAGATCACCAGCTGCAAAGAGAAACAAACTCAAACGACACACGATTTCAAGGGTAAAAGGGTAAAATAGTTATCCTTCGTAATAATAATAATAATAAGAAAACTCGTCAAATGGAGACTCAAATTGTTATCGGCGGTGCGCGACTTTTCCTTCCCTTCCCTCTCTGTCGCTGACTCTATGGCACACCTTTTGCTTCTTCTCTTCCCTCATGTTCTCGATCACTCGTATTCTTTTGCTTTCTTTTGGATTTAATTTCCCGCTCTTTCCCTTTCTTCCTTGGCTTTTGTATTCGTTTCTGATGGGATCTTAAATAGAAGAATTAGATAGGCGAAGGGGTCGGAGAGGAGCTGGCCTCTTGATTTAACGTGGGGGAGTGGGCAGAGGAGAGTCAGTGAGGAGCGAGGGGGAGGAGGGCTGGAATGGGGAGGGCCACGAAGTGGCTCCGCAGCCTATTCGGCTGGAAGAAGGCGGATCCCGCCAGCGACGTCGAGCCGGCCAAGGATAAGAGGAGGTGGGGCTTCATGAGGCCGTTCCGGGAGAAGGTGCAGCAGCAGCGGAAGGGAGAGCAGACAACGGCGGTGGTCATGGAGGAGCGGAAGGGGTCGTACAGGGAGGTGCCGAAGCCGTTCGGGGCGGCAGACGAGGAGGAGCAGAACAAGCGCGCGATTGCCGTAGCGGCGGCTACCGCGGCTGTGGCGGAGGCGGCCGTGGCCGCAGCTCAGGCGGCGGCAGCGGTCGTCCGGCTGACCAGCAGCGGGAGAAGCGCCGTGGGGTTCTCCCTGGCTGCCGCTGGTAAGCGGGAAGAGGGGGCGGCGATCAAGATCCAGGCCGTGTTCCGGGGATACCTGGTTCGTTTCTCTTCTCTGTCCCTTCAATTGCAATCTAAAATGTGCTTGTTGACGGAAAATTCGAAAGATTTCGTAGGAAAGAAAGGAAATTTGAAGGTCCAATCTGTTCCTTAACTCGATCCTCTGTTTTCATCACGAATCAGAAGAAAAGTCATTGTTCTTCTCTTTCCATCAGATCCAAATGGAAGGGTTAAGTTGGGAAACCGAGCTGCTTCCCTCATCTGCAATTTACATTGGCCGGTCCTTTGATCGCATAATTATCGCTCATCCGGGCACTTCGACGAGAGCCAAAAGCTTCGGTCTGTGAGCTCCTCAACTGCCTTGGGTGGAGCGATCTGGATTGCGTGATTCGATTGGATCCTGTCACCTCAAATTTGCTATTTTTCCCGGTCTGCAGTCGCTATCTCCCTTCTCGTCTTGAATGCAGAACCCTTTTGGCTTTTCCACCCCCCATCTTCCTTTTTCCCATTACTCGTCTGTCCCTCCCCCATCTTTCCGCCATTTACTTCATCAGCTCCCTCACTGTGTATAGACCTGTATCCTCTGCGCCATTGGTTGTTGCAGCTTGCAGTGGTATTGGTGCTATAAGTGGCATTGGATCGCAGCCTTATCCTTTCCCTCGTCCTCATACTTTTACTCTCTGCTTTTGGCTTTATTCTTCCCTTTAATCTTTCTCAACGCTGCTTCTCCTGTCTACTTGTACCGCAGTGGTTACTCCTCGGCTCATGAATCTCGTGGACCACATTTAGGACAATTTGGTTGGGATGGGTCATAATTTTCTTGGCCGTCCTACCAACTCTGAATTATTGAGTCATTGTTGACTTGGGGTCAATGTAGTTCTCTTCTGCAAAGGAATCTACTTTCTTGTTCTTCCACAAGTTCTTCGGATAAATCCTGTGTTCGGTAAATTGACCCCTGTTGATGTTGTGAAGGCAAGGAGGGCATTGAAAGCACTCAAGGGGCTGGTGAAGCTGCAGGCACTGGTGAGAGGTAACATTGTGAGGAAACAGGCCGCGGAGACGCTGCGATGCATGCAAGCATTGGTGAGAGTCCAAGCTCGGGCACGGGCGTGCCGTGTGCTCCGTTCCGAAAGGAGCAAGTTCGAGAAGGCCCCCAGCGGCCATTCTGTAAGTGTAGATTTTGTTCTTCCTCTTGTAGAGGTCTAGCTAATACTCATTTTTGTTGTTAGTTCATAAGTTGTCTCGAAATCCAAAGCTGCCTCAGATTTGCATTTATATGAATAATCACAACTATTCATTGTTTGAGCTGCTAATTCATTTGTTATAAGGAGCAAAAGATGAAAGGGAGGGAGGAAGTGTTAATACTTAGCCATTATTACGTTCCAGGGAACTCCAACTCTCGAGCAACATGAACTTTCTGTTCCTGGCAAACCTGGTTCTTCCTGCATGCTGAATAGCTAGTAATGCACATTAATGAAGTCATGCTATTGTCGTCTGCAGAGAGGTTCCTCGAGGCCAGCCAGTAGTGACGCAGCCCACCGGGAGCGAGCAACCTCTGCAGGATGGAACTGGTTGGACCGCTGGATGGAGGAACGGTATTGGGACAGCCGAGAATCCGTGAAGAAGGCAGGGCATGGTGCTTCCATGGACGATGATAAGAATGCAAAGATTCTTGAAGTAGATCCAGGGAAGCCCCAGTTTCATCACAAGAGGCGGAACACGCACAACCACTCCTCTTGCTCCACACTGACTTCGGACCAGAACAGCCATAGCTTCGTCACCGTCCCCGACTCACCGTCGGTGGAATCCACCGCCGCCCAACATTTCGTGCCTAGCTCGTCCTCCGTCGAAATGCAGCAATCTGTGGGCCACCTGAGGTTCCCTTTCGAGGCCGGGGAGTACGGGGAGAGCCCGCAATTCTACTCTGCTTCGTCGCGACCGGGAAGCTCGAGGAAGGGGCCGTTCACGCCGTCGAAGAGCGACTGCTCCCGGAGCCTGTTCAGTGGCTACTCTGACTACCCAAACTACATGGCCAACACCGAGTCTTCGAGGGCGAAGGTGCGGTCTCACAGCGCGCCGAAGCAGAGGCCGGACCGGCTGAATCCTTTGGGGCCCTTCGCTCAGCGGTCGTCGTCTCTGCACGCCAAGTCCTCAAACAAGGCTTACCCGGGCTCCGGCCGGTTGGATAGGTTAGGGTTGCCCATCGGGATTTGATGGAATCAACCTCGGAGATCACTGTGTTCATAACGTTTTGCTTCTTTTGTTTGGCAATGACTGAAGCAGTCTCTGACAATCTCGGACGAAGTCCCTAACCATGTTTATGTTCTGCTGTTCATCTTGTAAGGTTACCTGGAGATGTAAGTTTAGTGTAGGATTGCCATCAGCTCCAAAGTTTAATGCTTCCAAGATTTCTGCTGGTTTGCACATTGCTTGCTCATACAATCCTGAAATCTTTGGATAGATTCTGTTGCCCAACTTGCTTTAAAATAACATAGGTGGAATCTTATTATATATCACCTGAGTGGGAGTCAGGAGATTGATTGCAAGCAGTGTGGTGTCGGTCATGGAAGGCGTGCCAGTGCCGGTCATGCTACGTTGCACTTGGTTTTACTGAAGAACAATTTAATGCATGTCTACAGCAATATATACATATTTTTCTCTATCCGCTCTGCTTGCATTACTCGTATCCATGGATAAAATGGACGACAGAAAAGACGAGAAGACACATTGATTGGGTTCCGGCAACAGGCGTTCAAATAGCCTGTCACGTACAAATTCGGAACAGGGGTGAAAAAGAAAGCGACATGTCGCGTTCTGCTTTCCAGTTTGGAGATTCGTGAGCCGAGAATCACATGACGGTGGGCGAAACACACGGTCGGCGGATAAGTCGAGCACGGTCCCAAGTAGAGAGAGAAAGAGAGACTGGGGGGAGCACGCACAACTGGCCTTACTGTACGTGCATTTGTTACGCAGTGCTCCTCCGCTCGTTGGCTGCTCTCGTGACGGTGAAGGGGAATTTTTCATTGTGTTACAGAGCGATGAGATGGATCGATGCGGATGAGCTGATGGGATTCTTACCAGAGAGCTATTGGATTCCCTTCTAAAATGAGCTGCGGACAGCCTTGCCTGGCATTAGATTCTGAGGTCGACACATGATGGAGTGAGATCAATGCCTTGTGCACACAACATGCTCGCCGAATTGCCCTTGTGAAAAGTAAAGTGGTGTATATCTCAATATATGCTTGATCTATATTCTCTCTTTTGTTGCCAACCAGGACATGCTGATGGCAGCAGTAACAGGAAAAAAGA